AGCTCCCGGCTCCTCCGCTGCGAGCTGCCGAGAGCCTGGAGGGACCCCGCGTACCGCCTGGCCCAGCTGCTTCGCCCCGAACAGCGTCGCCGAGACGCGCGCTTTCCGCGCCAAGTCATTTTTAAGCGCTTTGGTCCTGCCCAGGACCTTTTTCCTCGCGGATGAAAGGAACAATTTTCGAGAGAAAGGCTCGTTTTGATTAAATCTGACATGCTGCTGATAACTCCATGCTAATGTGAAATAATTAACATAATAGCCATAATTAAAAGCACGCTAACAATGCCATAAATTTATCACACAATTTTACTAGCTTTCTGCCCCTAACTGCTCTCTCATCGTTAATTAAACGTGTTGCTTTTTACAGAATGGATGTTTATACATTTCCAATATAAATAAATTCGAAGCCATCTTCTCTCTCTCCTTTCTCCGTTTGTTCTCACCATTTCCAGGCACGTCTTAGCGTGCACTTTTAATGACAGATACTCTGAAAATAAATGAAATTTGGGAATGCAAATCCAAACAAGAACATCCAATTGGCTGTGTATTTATTTATTTGACTCCCCAAAATGTGGAGAGGTGTGGTAGTGCGGTAGAGGCGGCTACGAGTAGTAAGTTGAAAACCCTACTCGCTGAGAAATGGGAGTTAATCCGGTGGGTTGTGTCCCCCGAGTTCCCTCTCTGCCCTTCCCCACCTTTCACGGTGGCGGCCCTCCTTACAAAGAGGTTGATAATACTTAAAGGAATCTCTGAAGATTGTCCAGGGCCCTGCTTTGGCCCTCTGGGGCGTTGGGGAAGCTCGCGGAAACGTTTATCCATCGAGCTCCGCCCACGTTCTATGTCCTTGGCCGCTGTAGCTGTCTGGATAGCCCTTGGGGTGGGGGACGCGCCCCTCATTCCGCAGAACTTGATCTTGCCCACCCGGATGGGAAGAAAGGGGCCTATGCGCGGCGGGCTTTGGTGATTCTATCTCGCCATAGATTTCTTCCAACTGTGGGCACCGGCTCTTTGGGTTCACCCGCGGCCTTGCAAGGGGCAGGAGGCCACTACCACCGCTGGAATGCTCTGTCCTAGCCGCTCCTCCCCAAGTTGACCACTGAAGAAGCCAAACTGAGCTGTAATTAATGTCCACCCTCTGACATAGATTGTTCTATCGCCCTTTACCTGTCCATCTCCCCACCTCCACCCTCGAAATCTCCTCTCCCCGCCATGTCTGTTTCCTTGCTTTCCAACCCCCAGCCCCAACTCCGACGACCACGTCCCAGGGGCTTCCCCAGGCAGGTGCTGCGTCCTCCGCCCACCCCGGAGATCCTGAAGGATTCCCACTGCCCTCGCTTCTGGCTGAAACTTATCAAAACATGTAGGGGTGTCCGGCCCTGGAAGTTTGTTGAGACCAGGAAGTCACTTGGTCGTGTGTGTGTTCTTTCTGCCTCCTGTCCCGTATGCTTAAGCAGGGTATGCGTCAATGCTTCTACATCTCTCCTTCACCACAAATTTCCGCCCCCTCTTCCACTGTTTCCAGCCCCGCCCCTCGCCAAAGCACTTAGCTTTCTTCCCGGGCTTGCTGCTTAACCTCCTAAAGTTTGCAGGTAACTGACAACTTGCCTTTTTTTTTTTTAAGCTGCAAACAATTACGCACAAACAGAACTGCATTAACCCGGAACCAAGGCGGCCTCCAGCGGGACCCTCGCGGCGACCAGTCCGGGCAAGTTCGCCCCGGCAGCGTCCCGCATCGAGGACAGCGGGAACTTTCCTGTCTCCCTCTAGAACTGCACTGGGCATCCTTCCCGCCCCGCGAAGGCCGGGCCGCAGCTACTGCCCACCGCCCGGAAGAAAGAAGCCGGCGGCTGGTACCCGAGCCCCAGAGTGGCCGGGAAAACTCCGCCGCCTCCGTGGGAAGCCGACGGCGAGGGGTGATGCCCGTGCGGGCGCAGGGCGTCGGGGAGGCAGCCAGTCGGTCCTACACGACTCATCATTGAGCTAATCGAGTCGAAAAGTTTCTGTAAGGGCCGGCCTCGGCATCAGATGGTAACACTGATTGAACAAGAGATTAGCACAATAGATCTCTAACCGAGGGGAAGCGTCGCTTTTCACGCTACGCGCCGTAATTAATGGTATGAATCAATTAATTTGACTTTTATTGTGTCGAAGGAAAAAAGCGCAACAAATGGAACTGGCAGCTGGGAGTTGTTCAGCCCCCTTCCCCAGGGAGGTTCCAAGGAGACACCCGGGAATGGATGGCTCGGGCGAGGCCTGGCGGAGGGCGGGCGGATGGCAGCGATCAGCGGCACGAAGGGGGGCCCCGAGCCAGAGCCAGCGGGCGGTGAAATCGAAGTTTGTTGGAGGGGGTGGCGCCTGCAGAAGAGCAGCCATCTGCCCGGGTGCAGACCCACGCACGCGTCCACGCAGGCCAAGCCATGGAGGAGGCCACAGTGGGGCCCCCGCGCTGCACCAGGTGCCTGCCTCTAGGGCTAGACGGTTCAGGTGGAGCCAAATGAGTTTACCAAGTCGCCCTTGATGGCTGCGGGTCCTCCCGACCTTCCTTCCCGCGAGTCTGCTGGAGCCTAGCGACAAGCAACCTCCTGCAGCCCGTGCAGGTGGATTGCTAGCTTGCGGCGGTTGTGGCAGGCTGTCTAGACGAAATTGCAAACGCTTCGGAGCCTGCGGGCCACAAAGTGATGCAGTTGTGCAAGTCAACTCAGATTTCATTTTAGGGTCAGGCACACGCCCTGTAGATCTCACGCAGGCGAGGGGCGCATCTCAGGATGGAGCCAATGCCCCCCCCCCAGGCCCCCAGCAGAAAAAAACTGCCAAGCAGAGATCCAATGGGCTGCTTTTATATCCGGGGGAACTGTGCCACGGAGATGGAAGTTAATTTGTGTGTCGCAGCGCCTGTGAGGAAGCAAGTTTATATATATTTTTTCATTTTAATTTATTTACTGTGCCAGGCAAAGGACAGGGATCATGGGTGGGGTGGGGCCGGACTGATGGAGGGAGAATGTACACAGTCCACTGATTTAAATCAGTTTCCCAGGGTCTTCTGCAAATATTTCACTAGTTCCTACCTGTCCCATCCCCCTCCCCTCCCAGGCCTTCAGCATCCAGGTTCCAAGGAGTCCAGCTGTCCAAGTAGGCGCCGGGGACTGGGGGGGAAAGGAAGCCTACAGGTCAACCAAAGAGGCGGCGCAACGTGGATCTGTGGGGCCAGAAGCCCCAGTCCCCTCGGAGGCGTGGGGCCGGCGCGTTGCCTAGCCACGCCGCGCGCCACCCCCCAAGACCCCAGATGAGATTCCCACGGTCCCTCCTACCGTCACTGGCTCCTCTTCCTGGGAAACTCTTTGCTGCGTACCCCGGCCACGTCCTCGTCGCTGCCGCTTTCCACCAAGTTACACCTTGCAGAGCGTCTGCGGCTATGGAGAGGAAATCCGCGTTAGCAGCCCGGCCACCGAGAGCCCAGCCTGCCGGCGTGCTTCAGGCCACCGCCAGGTCACCCCCAGGACCCGAGGCCACCTGCTCCTCCCGCGGCTCTGCTGCAGCCCCAACCTGGAGTGGCGTCTAACCTGCAGGCCCAAGGCCTCCTCCTCCAGTCCCCGACTTACCCAGCCCAGGCCGCGGCCGCTACCGGCTTCTTTCCCAGCGTCTCGTTTCCGACTTTTTCATATGCTAAACCGTTAAGCAACGCCAAGCAGCGGGTTATGGCTTTTTTTTTTAAACCGGTTTCCTGGTTTTTTCTTCCTAAATGTTGATTTTATCTCTTTCTGCAACTCTTCTAATAGATTTATCAATAGCCATTTTCTGTCCTTCGGAGATGCCGGGAATGCTGTTTTGTAGTCGCTGGGTGTGGGTTTGGGGGAACCCCACATATAGAAAAACGCGTTGGCATGCATCGGGGAAAACGAAATCGGACCGGAGTGGCTAGGCCTGGGCGGGGGCAGAGGGGGAGACGCCTCAGCAGGTGTGGTACTGAGGATAGAGGGAGGTCGGCGGTCTAATTAGCAAGAGGAAGCCGGGAGCGCCGCCCCGACTCTTTACAGCTGAAAACAAACAAAAGCTAAAAAGCAACTAAGTTTCTCCTTTTCGAAAATGGGATGGAAATCTCGTGCTATGTTGCCCAGGCTCCGTCAAACCAGCCCTGGCCAAGGGAGGGAGGGAGGAGGGAGAAGGGGGGTGGAAGAGAAGGGGGGCGGGGAAGGCAGGGCAGCGGGAGCCGCGCGTCCGGCAGCCGCTCCCAGGCCCACTCCCTCCCGGGTTCACACCCATCCACACCCACCCGCTCCCCGGGCCCCAGAGCGGCTCCAGCCGGGGCCGGGGTCTCCGGGCGCCTTCGGGGCCCGCGGGTGCCTGCGCGCGGTGCGGTGCCCGGTTGCGCGTCTTGTCCCTTTGTTGACAATTCCCCCGAACCAACTTGAGTTTGGCCAGCTCCGCGGCGGCCCTGACGTCACGCGCGGTCACGTGGCCCCGCCTCCCGCTGGATCTTTAAGTAGAAAGTAATCTATCAGGTCAGTCCTTAAAACGGGACTTTGGACTACCGGGGCTTCCGCGGCCCCGACCAGCCCACCGCCCACCCTCCCGCACGCCCCCTCCCGCCGCCGCCGCCGCAGTTGTCCCAGCCCACCGCCCTCCCGAGCTGCCCGGTGTCCCGCGCCCGCCTTGGACCGCTCGTGCGCCCCGCGCAGGGGCCGGACACCGAGACCGCCCGCGGGTCAAGTGTGGGGGCGCGGCGTGGAGACGCTGCCCGGGGCCGGGGCGGTAGCTGGGCGCCCGGTGCCGAGCCCGGGAACGGCCGGAGTTAGCGGAGCGCGGCCGCGGGCGGCGGACGGCGGACGGCGGCCGCGCGATGCCTGACCGCCGAGTGTGAGCGAGCCGGGCCTGACCCCCTTCGCTGCCCCCCTTGCCCTCTTCTCCTCTTTCGGTGGGCGTCCGGAGTCCCCCTTCCCCGGAGCTCTCCGCCGCAGCCCCTGTCGACTCTCTTCGCCCGCCGCTCCCACCCACCCGGAGGAGGGATGACCCTCTCCGGCGGCGGCAGCGCCAGCGACATGTCCGGCCAGACGGTGCTGACGGCCGAGGACGTGGACATCGATGTGGTGGGCGAGGGCGACGACGGGCTGGAGGAGAAGGACAGTGACGCAGGCTGCGACAGCCCCGCAGGGCCGCCGGAGCTGCGCCTGGACGAGGCGGACGAGGGGCCGCCGGCGGTCCCCCACCACGGGCAACCCCAGCCGCCCCACCAGCAGCCCCTGGCGCTGCCCAAGGAGGCGACCGGGGCAGGGCTCGGGGCCGGGGCCGAGGCGGGCGCGCCGGAGACGGACGGCTGCAAGGGCGGCCCGGGCGGCGAGGAGGGCGGCGCGGGCGGCGGCGGCGGAGGAGGACCCGGCGCGGCGGGCGGCCTGGCCCCGAGCAAGCCCAAGAACAGCCTGGTGAAGCCGCCCTACTCGTACATCGCGCTCATCACCATGGCCATCCTGCAGAGCCCGCAGAAGAAGCTGACCCTGAGCGGCATCTGCGAGTTCATCAGCAACCGCTTCCCCTACTACCGGGAGAAGTTTCCCGCCTGGCAGAACAGCATCCGCCACAACCTCTCGCTCAACGACTGCTTCGTCAAGATCCCCCGCGAGCCGGGCAACCCGGGCAAGGGCAACTACTGGACCCTGGACCCGCAGTCCGAGGACATGTTCGACAACGGCAGCTTCCTGCGGCGCCGGAAACGCTTCAAGCGCCACCAGCAGGAGCACCTGCGCGAGCAGACGGCGCTCATGATGCAGAGCTTCGGCGCCTACAGCCTGGCGGCGGCGGCGGGCGCCGCGGGACCCTACGGCCGCCCCTACGGCCTGCACCCCGCCGCCGCGGCCGGCGCCTACTCGCACCCCGCCGCCGCCGCGGCCGCCGCCGCCGCCGCCGCGCTCCAGTACCCGTACGCGCTGCCGCCCGTGGCGCCCGTGCTGCCGCCCGCCGTGCCGCTGCTGCCCTCGGGCGAGCTGGGCCGCAAGGCGGCCGCCTTCGGCTCGCAGCTCGGCCCGGGCCTGCAGCTGCAGCTCAACAGCCTGGGGGCCGCCGCGGGCACGGCGGGCGCGGCGGGCACCACGGCGTCGCTCATCAAGTCCGAGCCCAGCGCGCGGCCGTCGTTCAGCATCGAGAACATCATCGGCGGGGGCTCGGCGGCGCCCGGGGGCTCGGGGGCAGGCGCAGGGGGCGCAGGGGGCACCGGGGGTGGCGGCGGCGGCGGCGGCGGCGGCACCGCGCAGTCCTTCCTGCGGCCGTCCGGAACTGTGCAGTCGGCGGCGCTCATGGCCACGCACCAGCCGCTGTCGCTGAGCCGGACGACCGCCACCATCGCGCCCATCCTGAGCGTGCCACTCTCGGGACAGTTCTTGCAGCCCGCGGCTTCGGCTGCCGCTGCTGCTGCCGCCGCGGCTCAAGCTAAGTGGCCTGCGCAATAGGGACGCGCGGGTGATTGGGACGCTGCGCCCCGGCGGTGGCCGCCTCTCCAGGCTGCGCGCCCCGCCCCGGTCCCGGTCCCCCTTACCCAACCCGGACTCTGCCAAACCCCTCGTTTCCTCCCTCTTGACCCTCCGACGCGGGCCTCCCGCGGTCCCCACCCTCTGGTTCGCACCCAAGCCGCCGGAGCAAACTCGCCGCGCGCCCGCCGGGAGTAGCTTTCCGTACAGGTAAACTCGAAAACCGAATTTTCCGGGGGAAAAAAAAAAAAAAGCACCCGACGGCGCCTGCTCTCAGTACCATGGGACAAGAGGGAAATTCTTTGTACATATTTGTATAAAAATTACTGACTTTCCTTTTGGGGTTTTTATTTTTTTAAGAAAAAAGAAATTCAGTAGAAAAAAGAAATTCAGTAGATTTAGAGCTCTGAGCTTTCATTTTTGTTGAAGGTTCATTCTCCGCAGTTTTATCCGAGAAAAAGAATGTATAGAGACGTTGGGAAATTTTAAATATAAAAAAAATTTTTTTCGAAAGGCGAAAAGTGTCATTCTATTATAAAAGTCTGTTTATATATGAATGAATATATATGGTATTCTAAATGTTATTCCATAGTGTTGTACACAACTTTGTAAATAAATTTTTAAAATGCTTAATCTAGAGTTTTATTTAGGTGCCTGAAGCGAATGCCAAAATGTAAAAATTATCCTTGCATTTCCCAGAAAAATCTAGCAGTTTCAGCTAATGACCTTTTTAATCCTTCCCCGGTTCACCATTGGAATGTGGAAAGAGAGAGAGAGACGGAGGAAGGAAGGAGTTTGCTTAATTTAAATTGTGTTAGTGTTTCAGCTTTGGTTTTCACACACACACACAGCATCAGGATATGGAGGGTGATGTCATGCATACCAACTTATCAAATGTAAATGACCAGATAGGTAGCTGAAGTAAACTGCCATTTGAAAAAAAAATGTAATCCTAAACAATAGCAGGTTTTACAATTTGTGATAAGATCGGACGCACGTCCTCTACAATGACAACTCAAAACTAGAGTATTCCTGGTCATTTCACTCATCCTCCAAGAGCAAATTGCAAACATCCCTCATGTTAGCGTTTCTTAGATTTTTAAAATAATTGCATCCTCTAAGTGGAAGTGTTAAAAAGGACCCAGGTGATTTTATGTGTGGTGTGGTGTGTGTGTGTGTGTGTGTGTGTGTGTGTGTAAAAGCATTTGAAATTTTTGCAATGAGAATTTTTATTATCTATCTTAATCTGATTGTTCGTCATTGTTTCAATCCTTCATGGCGATTTTTAGTAAGATCCCTCTTTTCAGTGGGCCGCAATCACGATGGAATTTCTTTGGGATTCCCATAGATGCCTTCTCGCCCTCGAACCCAAAACCTTCAGGAGGCCAGGGATGGGTGGCCTCAGCACCACCCTTAAAAACAGGTGCGCTCCCCCCGCCCCTTTTCCTTTTTACCTTGGGCTAGAGATGGGTTATTTTGAAAGTGCGTTCAATCTGCTTTCACTTTTTTTTTTTTTTTAAATAGTCTTAAATGTTAGAAAGGAAACGTCTTGACGCGGGAGGCAGACTCCCTACCCGCGTATCCAGCAGCATCCGTTCTAAGGCCTGGATTAATGCAGCGGTCGGGATTGCTTGTGCGAAATCAGTTTCCAAAGCTGGAGCAGGCAGCATGCGGCGGCCGCGTGCGAGGTCCCGTGCTCCCGGCGCGGCCAGGGCCGGACGCTGCCCGGGCCTGACCGACCCAGGGCTGGCTGATGCTTCTCCGCCGCCAGGCTGAGCCTGCTGCGCCCTGGCCGCCGCCGTGGGCCAGGGGGGTCGCCGGGATAGCCGCTCGCTCGCTCGAGAAGACCGAGTCTGTTTTCCTAGCCAACGGTAAACATTATTGCGTCCTGGATAAACATTCCTTCAGGATCAGGGTCCTAAAATAAAACAAGCTGCCTGGGGAAGGCGGGAGGGGGGAGAGGTGGTTGAACTTGATAAACAAGAAGCCGATAATCAACCGCCGCCGGAGGAGAGCCCATAACCGTTGCCTCCAAAGGCAGCGAGCGGCCGGCTGGGTCTCCGAGCGGGTCCCTTCTCATCTGCTCGTGCCGGGAAAACGAACGGATCTAAATTTGTTTGTATGTGTTGCCGCTATAAAAGTCACAAGTTGTTTCACAGTTGTGTCTGGCTAATCGGTTTTTACACAAACAGCAAATGGTACATGATTTGTGCAAACACATAGAGGTTATTTCTAAATTTAGCCGACACCCCTGGGAAAAGGGAAAGGCAGGGCTTCTTGAATTCACTTTTAGCCTCAAGAAGCTGCTGATCCAAGGCTTCTAAATGACATTGGATAACAGGGGCCTCATTCCATCACTGATCCTTTGTTACTTATAAAATTACTCGCTCATATTTCCGCGCATAGCAGCAATACCGGCCGAGCCTGAGCCCGCAGCGTGACTCGCAGCCCGAGCAGCCCTTTGAGGCCGGTGGCGCTTTTTCCAGCGATGCATTAGGCGGCGGGCCTGCAGGAAGAGACAGGTCTGCCGGCCACCGTCCTCCGGGGCTCTCCTCGCTCCAACACTGGCGTCCGGAGACGGTTCCCGTCCCCTTTGTATCTCGGAGGGGGCCGGGAACCCTCGGGGTCCACCAACAGGCCAGCGGCTCTTTCAAGCCCTGGCAGGTGGCAGGAAGGTAGGCCTGGCAGTCATCTCCCCCCTACCCCTACCCCGAAAAGCTCGTTGGGGTTTAAGCAGTCTCAACTGCGAAGGTTTGGAGCCGGAGGGGGAAATGCAACTGTGGTAGATAATGAGCACCAAGGCTCCTCATGGCAGGGCGGGCGGGTGCCCGAAACCCACGTTGCATGTGACCGAGCGCTGGCACCTACGACAAAAGGCGCTGCAGTTCGCCTTCATGCCGACGCTCAAGCCAACACGACCTAGATCCGCGTTTTATTCCTCTTAAAAGGAATAAAAGAAGGGCGAGGACAGATGTTCTCGCCATAAAAGGAGGACGCGTGTTGACACCTTTGGGTTGGTTTTGAGTTTTCTGCTGTGCAGGAATTTGACCATGTTTCTGTATTCTCCGGCACCGATTTCTTAATCCATTCCCCAGGCAGGTGGCCCCTGCAGCAGCCTCAGACCGGATGCTTGGGGTGAGAAGGGGCGCATCCAGCCGCCCTCCCGGGAGGTACCAGAGAACAAAATGGGTTCCAAGACAGAGGCCAATAAATGCTTGCGCCGGCGGTCGGGCTCGGGCCGCGATGGCCGAGGTGGCCTGTAGGGGGCGGCGAGCAGGTGGAAAACTCCGAGGGTCTCCGCGGGGTCGGGCCCCGCCCTCGGAAGCTTCTCTTCCCTCCCAGGCTCCGGACATCTCTGCCCAGCCTCAGGTCCCCAGGCACCTTCACTGAGCCTCCGAGATGCCGCTTTCTTCGGCCTGTCTCCTTTGGAGGGACAGCACCCCGAACGGAATCTATGCTAAACATTGGGAAGCCGTCAAGTTGAGTGAGGAGGAAATACTGAGTTGGGAGCAAGTAGGGGTTCTAGCTCAGAGTATTTGGCTGATACGGGAAGGGGAGAGCCGCGCAAAGCAAATCAGCTCCAGAGGCTCGAGCCCATCCGCGTCAGCACCGACGTCTATGGTGGCCGCAAACTGTGGCCCCCATAAAGGCGTGGGGGTGACAGGTGGAAGGCAGTTATGAGGGTGCCCAGGGCGAGCTGTGGGGTGCAGGTGTGTGAGGAAAGCCAGGAAGCAGTGGGGTGACACACCTTGCAAGAGGCGCCCCCATCCCGAACTCTGGATGTCCGGGAGTCTTTATTTATTTATTTATTTATTTTTTGACTCTACAATAAGAAAGGAGCCTGCCTGCCGCTTGGTCTTGTAGAATTAGGGGAGTTCGTGTCAGTGACAAATATTGTATAAATTGTAACGAGCCTTCTTTAATGGGCTCTAGACAGAGACACAATTCCGTTCCAAGCACGGGTGGTGTTGAGCTTGGTTTTGAACGCCTGCATTTTGGAGGTACAAAATGAATTTTTCTAAGAGGAATCTCACACCTAGTCCCCATTCGGCGGCCTGGAAGGATGGAGAGGGGGGAAAAAAGTTTGCTCGGCCACAGACTTTTTAAAAGGTGGGCCTCCTCCAGGGCTGGGCTGGTGTCTTTTGACCACACCCTGGGCCTGAGCCAAGTCCAGGATACCCACCCACCCCTGGGCCCCCACGCCCAACTGCGGGGCTGCACGCGATGCTTTCCGGGTGGGCGGCCGGCCGGCTTTGCCGTTTTTTCCCCTGACTTCCACTGTCCGAGGCAAGTGTGGAAACCCGAGCCCTCCGCTGACAGACGCCTATTAGCGCCAGGATGCGGACTCAGAGGCAAATTAAAGGTAACCAGATCCCGACCCCGGGTAGAAGACCACCCTCCCTGCACCGCCCTTCAACAGTTGGCAGTGCGACTCCCAGAGCCAGCTTCTCCCTGTCTCACCACCAGCTTGCCCTCCTAGGAATGCACTGGTCATATTCTCTGCTCCCCCAGCCGAGCCTGCCCAGCAGGGCGGAGGCGCAGAATCCGTCGGAAAAAGGAGGTTGCACAACCAGCCAGAGCTTCTTGAGAAAAGAGAAGCATCTCAGTTTGGGGTCCGAGAGGGTGTCTTAACATCCAGCCCATGAGTCCACTCCCGACTCCTGACATCAAACCTGTACCCCTAGGAGCCCTTTCTTCCTGGACACAGCTCAGTCCCCGTACTTCGCAAGGCAGGGAGGGGGAATCCGAAGTCCCTGGCCCAGGGTCTCAATTTCTCACGCATCTTCCGGGGTCGGGGGAGGATGTGTGCAACGAGGTCAGCACTGGAAGCAGGATCAAGGGTCGCCCCCCGCCCCCGCCTCTTTCACAGAGGCCTGAGGGTCCCGTGACTTACCCAGGGTCACTCAGCAGCCCCAGGGTCAGCTATGAAAACGCTCCGAGGAGAGACTAGAGCTCTCGGCTTGGCACAAAGGCGCCACTGC